ATATATATTATATATATATATATATATATATATATATATATATATATATATATATATATATATATATATATATTTATATATATATATATATATATATATATATATATATATATATATATATGTATATATTTTACCATACCATACCAATTATTCATACCAAGGATTCATACATAGAAATACATAAATACATTAATATATACAGCATTTTAAAAAATAGTCATGATTTCAAATAACCAATAAAAACAACATTTCATAAAATACTTATACCTTTAGGAACTTTAGAATATCGCCTTGCAGCCCTTCCACCATTCTTGTCCTTTGCATTATGCAAAAATCGTTTGATGCGCAACTCTACAACATTGCGAGTTTCATTTGGAAAATTTGTCAAAACGCAGTCCTTTATGAATTTCTCTAACTTCACTGGAAGTTTTAATTTACCATTTTTCCCACTTCGATTAAGTTGTTTTGCCAAATCAATTGATAAAAGGAGATTTAATAAACGCTCACAAAGATCATTGGAATCACGGCCACCTTCTTGGAGCATCCACTGAAATATTTTATCAGATAAAACAATATCTGCATTTGCTAGATCATCCGGAGTGCAAAACAAAGGAACTTTTCTTTGTTCGCTTTTTAATAATGGTATTGCTTTCACTGTTGAATGCGTCAAGCTGTCCAGCCGTTGTGAAATAAGAGCTAATTTTTGCAAAATGACAGCTTGACCATATCGCACAGCTTAGACTGTGTCAGAATCGATGCTTGCATCGTTGCAAAGAACATTGAGCTCATGGAGCACAGCATGAGTACTATTTGCTTGTTTTGTTTTTGGACCATCTGACGCTGACACTTTACAGGCCAAAGGTTTAAAAGACTTAGAAATAATTGAAGATGAGACTTGTAATTGGTTTTTATCAACATGTTGGATAGAAGATGTTGGTGTAAATATATGCATTGGGACTAAAGGTGGAGAACAAAGTGGAGGTATTGGTTCACTAACTTTAACAGCTAGTGGTTTAACAAACAGTGGTGTAAAGACATCAGAATCGGTTCCACTGGTGAGGTTGTCTAAAGGCTGTAAAGGTGCGCGTTTATTAGGCCGAACTCTATAAAATTATAAAAGAACCAACTTTATTAAATATTCTCAAGAAACACAAAAACTAAAAATTTAAATTTTATAAATACCTGAACTTGATGTACTTCATTAACCTCAATGCACCAAAATTTTAACTTTAACTGCATGTCTCAAACTGTTTATAGTTTGCTGACAACTGTCATCATTAGGAACTACTTGCAGAAGACATGCATCAAATGGTTGGTCTTTCCACACAGCTTGAATACATACAACATGATCAACTGACAATGAATTCCAATAATCAACTGAGTAACCTTCATAGTCCATGAGCATGACATCTTCTTCATTTAATATATCCACATGTGTGTCATTAAAATATACTATGTATTTCATTCTATCTATATCTATATATATATATATATATATATATATATATATATATATATATATATATATATATATATATATATATACAATGATGATAATATATATATATATATATATATATATATATATATATAATGATAAAATATATATATATATATATATATATATATATATATATATATATATATATATATATATATATATATATATATAATGATGACTAATATTAAAAGTAATAAAAAACATAAGCAAATGATCAGCAATAGTTAAGATTTTTTCTTTGGACTCTGAATCCTTGTTGTCACTTGAGTCGCTATGCAAACACTGTACAAAATCTTCTGACTCTGAGAGCATGCAATCTTCTTCATTTAAATACAAATCACTATCTTAATAATTTAAATTATTTTCATTGCTTTCAAATAATATATATATATATCAATATATATATATATATATATATATATATATATATATATATATATATATTTATATATATATATATATATATATATATATATATATATATATATATATATATATATATAATATATATATATTGATATATATATATATATATATATATATATATATATATATATATATATATATATATATATATATATTGCAAAAATATTTAGCAAGTATACTTTTTCCAATTTTTATTATAATAATTATCAAATATGTATTAGCAAAAAAAATTAAAATTAATTATTGTCAAACAACATGTACAGAAAGATAAAAAACTTTTTCTTTTTATTAATAAATAATAAATACAGAAAAATACATATTCAAAAAGATACCATATCATATATATATATATATATATATATATATATATATATATATATATATATATATATATATATATATATATATATATATATATATATATATATATATATATACTTGTATATATATATATATATATATATATATATATATATATATATATATATATATATATATATATATATATATATATATATATATATATATACAAGTTTTGAGTTAATGAACTAATTTAATGTTTAACTTAAAAATGAATAAAAATGAAATCATTTAATGTTTAACTTAAAAATGAATAATTTTTTAATTAAACATAAATCACAAACTGTATGCTCACAGTTTAAGTATTTTTTAACTGTTATCAAAACAAATTACTGTTTACCTAGTATATTGATATTATTATCTAATATTTTTATATCTTAAACTTTAATGATTTATAAATTTATATAACTATTCAAATAAAATTCAAATAACTATTTGTAAATAAAAAGTAATGTTATTATTTATAAATACCAATTAATATTATTAAATAATATTAATTTAACAGGTAAACGAATTAACTTTCCTATGCATTAAAAAATTTTGCCTTCAGTTAGAGAGATTTGCTGCCATTTTTAAAATTCAACATATTCGGTTTTTTATCGTTAAAATAAAAAACAGAACCAAATTGGCTGAACATCGGCTGAACGTCGGCTGAATGTCTGTTTGACCATTCATCGGCCAACAGACACAAAACCGACGTTTCACCGATATTATTTTGCTAAAAACAGAGTAGCCGATGTTCAACCGATGTAACAAGCTCGGCCCGAGCTCGGCCCACCGTCGGACTTAACACAGGGAAATATATATATATATATATATATATATATATATATATATATATATATATATATATATATATATATATATATATATATATATATATATATATAATATATATATATATATATATATATATATATATATATATATATATATATATATATATATATATATATATATATATATATATATATATATATATATATATATATATATATATATATATATATATATATATAATATATATATATAATATATATTATATACTGAAACAGTATAATATAATCCATAATTTATACTGATTTAATGTAATCTTCAAAACTATATAATATACAAGTATGTATAATTGTGTAATCAATAGCAAAGAAAACACTTAAATTCTATGACTTGAATATTCAACTATATTGCCTTTCTAAGAAGCTCTCCATGGCTCTCTCTGAATTCTGAAGTTGAGAACCTGCTTAGTGTTTTCAACATATTATGATGAACAGATTCAAAATATTGTTTAGAAAATACTCCCAATGGGAGCTTAGTTCTATTTAAAAACATGACAAGATGGTGTTCAATTGTATGACCTTTCCATCCAATAGAGAGATTGTGGTTGAATGTAGTCTTCACATATTCTTGGTTTTCCTAAATTAATAATTTAAAAAATGGTTAATATAAACAAAAATTAAAACTTTATTTTTAAATGTATGAGTTGTTTATGCATTTGTGTAACTATTGCCTTTAACTTTCTTATATATGTTGCAATGGCATCAGCATAACCGTCATGGAGTTTCATTCCGAAACACATGTTTACTACTAAATGTAAATTTTAGTGTCATTTGTGAGAAATTGCTTTTGATTCAATAAATATTTCTTTTTAAATCATAATTAACTTTTAATATATAAATACTTTGTAAAATTAAGTATATTTAAAATTTACCTGAAGAAAAAGACTTTAACAGTTCAACAACTGGATAATAAGAAGAAAAGTTATCTAAGATAAATTTCTCCAAATCTAGCAAAAGCTTTCGCATTTTGTTAGCATTTCTACCATCCAGTCCACCTCCATTATACCCATGCCAAATAATTCTATGCTTTTTTAACCAGAGAGCGACATCAGGTTCCTTAGAGAAGACATTTGAAATTTCTGTTATATTCATCATCATTCAATGAAGTTCTGGAAGAGGGATGACATCAAGCACATCCAGACTCAACCAGGAGACATGGATGTATAATATTTTTATAGAGTTGCATAGAGCTTTTTTTAAATCCACTTTCAGCAAAGTTTTTATACGTGTTCTTAAGCATGTTAAATGTTCTCAGTTCTCCAAGATTAGTTTTATCACCATCAAAAAATAAACATGAATATTTCCCCATGTCCTAACAAATCCAAAACTATGTTGCATAATTGAAGATCTGCAGCAAGGTAAAACTTTAAATTGTTTAGCTTTGTTTTTTCTATAAGAATTTGAAAATTTGTGTGGCTTTTGTAAACATTTTTGGCAAAAGCCAATATTATAACTTTGTTCACTCCAGTATTCTTGGTTTCTTTGGAGTCATAATTTACTTCTCTGTTAAAAACATTCATAATAACTTTTAAAGATCCTTGGCCACCATATATTCCTAAATGAATAATAACATTCTCGACTACTAGTCCCCAACAATGCAAACATGATTAACTAGAGATACTAGATCTTTAATATACACTAGATCTTTAATAACAGTTTCAATAGTTTTATTTTCTTTAACTTTATTTTTTGATAGAAACTCTACTTTTTCCACTGAGTAATAGTTATCTAAGGCATGTGACATTATCTTTATTTTTTTGAAGAATTAGATTCCACACCTAATCTATCCAAATCTTTTCCTAATTCCATTGCTATTGAATCAATAGTACAGTCTGACATATCATGCTTTCTTTTGATATTATAGAAAGTTTGGGTAGAGATTTAAGGGTTGGCTTTTTCCCTATCTGCAGACTTAAAGGAGTTCCTTCAGTCGACAATGTAACAGTGATGTATAACTCAATATTTTTAAATTGTTGAATTTCTTTCAGAGATTTGCTAAGTACTTGCTAAACTGTTTTTAAACCTGAAAATTTGTAAATATGTTTTAGGGTTACGTAAAAATTTAGTTTTAAAAAAACTATAATTAACCTCTTACCTGTTGACATTAGCAATGTTTTTAGGTTCTGTACAATGTCTCTCTTATTACAGGGATGTTGAATTCCAGATCCAATTCTCTGATAACAAGTACAACAAATTTTATCTATAACCTATTTTGGCACTTCAGGGTCATTAATGTACATGTTTAATACATCCTAAATAAATAAAAAACTATACTTATTTAAAAAATACTTAATTAAACTATAATAAAAGTTGTAATTTTATAAATGTTTTTAATGTAAATAATTGAGCTACATATATGAGTTTTTTATAAATAACCTGAAGGTTTATAGATTTGGATTTATCTCTTGACATGATACAGAGCAGGCAATTACATGTTGACACTGTCTCACCTATATTTATATATATAAAAACAAATGTTTATTCATATTATTTATAGCTTTTATGATATGCATAAGTAAGTATAAGTAAAAGTATTACCTTTAAATCTCGGAAATAACTTTATTCTCTCTGATGTGAGCAACCACCTCTCTAAAGTACCTAGTGATAAAGTTTCTCCTTTTTTAGCTGAGTACAAATAAATCTTGCAGCTTGGACATAATCCAATAAGGTTGGAAAGAAGTGTAATATTATAGTTAGTGTTGGCATACAGTTAAATAAAGATTAGTAAAGGATTTCCAGTTACCAGTTCAATGCATTTTAAGTGCTTATCACCACAGCAAATTTTTGTTTTCTTGAAGAAAAATGATCCCTTGGTTTGTTTGGCATGTTAACTATGCTAATTATGCTAGTTTTAATGCAAATAAATAATAAATATGTTAGATTTTTAACTAAAGCATATACATATATACATAATAAATTTAGTAACACTTTGACTAGTTTTACTTTAAATGGTTATATCTTTTGAACGCCTAGATATTTTTTATTGAATTTTTGAATATGAAACTTATGCTTGATTTTTCTAAAGATGGCATAATTTTTTTTAATAAATAAAGGGGGGCAAGGGGAGGGGGAAAAGTTGTCCTGATCCCCTTTAAAAATTGATTTTCTCATTAGGACGTACACCAAATAATTTGTTCTTTTCATAATATTGTCTGTATAATAGTCCTGAACACTTTGTAATAAAATTTTTTTAAGTAATCAAATTTTCAATCTAAACGACCTAGAATTGACTAGTGTTCTCAACCATATATAGGAAGCACTATTTATTACTTTATATACTATTTATATAGCTTTACTTATATTTTTTTTTTCAGAGTTTCAGAAAAAATTTATATTCCAACTTGCTGAAATAAAAAAAACTTTAGTGGATCAAACTGCACTGTTCTCTAATAATCCAGAAAAAGGTTTTAAACAACGTAAAAGTTCAGATAAACTTAATGTTTTGAAAAAAAATTCGCAGATGGAGATATCCAATACATCACTTTTGTATACATGAGTTTCATCTTTAAAGTTTATATGTTATATATTATTACAATGTTTATTTTAAATTGGCATAAACATTTTCAATATTTCTTATACGTTGTTTCTTTTTAGATAAAATAGTTATCATTAATTGGTGATAAAAATCTAGCTGATACAATTAAAAATATTTTGCTCTTGTAAGTAATTAGCAAAAGTTTGAGTTTTAACATTTATGATTGACAGTAGAGCATTTATCTTCTTTTTTATATATGTAGACTGCCAACAGTCACTATTTTGTCAGAATATAGCATGAATTGTCTAAAGAAGAAAAAAAAGTTCAAAGAGTTTACAAGTCTATGTAACGCTGTCACTGGTATTCTTATTAGCTTATTAATGTGTTTGATTAATTAAAAATTAAAAATGATGTTTTAATTAAAAAAAAAAAAAAATTATTTTTTTGGCTCTGGAACATGACATTGTATTCAAGTGTATGAATGACATATGTATTTTTTTTTATGAACTTATTGAAACATGTTTTGTTATTTTTATTAGAAGCTGCTTTAAAGTCAAATAATAACTTAACCAAAATAAATGCTATCCAACTTATTGGAAGAGTAATTAGGCATTCTTCTGAGCGAATGAAGAGAACATTGACTAATATGGATTTCGATCAATGTTGGCTGCATTAACTGTTTGTCATTTTTAAGCAATTTTCTTCTATTTATAATGCACTATTGATTATATTCTACAGTACCTATTAGTTTTTAATTTGAAAAATGTAATTTTGTTTGAAAAATTATTCTTATTTTTTGTAAAGTTGTTAAATTATTTAAATATATCAAATTAATCTATATTTACATTGATTTCTTTTTATAACTTCCCTTGCCTAGATTAAGGCAAATCTAAGGTGTGTGTTGTAAATCATTGCATTTTTATATAACTTTTAAAAGAATGTCTTGGTAAAATTCAAACGTCTCTAGGACATCTGAAAAAGACGTCCTTAAGTCTTTCATATGAGACCAGTCAGAGACGTCTCTAGAGCGTGTGCAAAAAACTTCTCTAGGACGTCTTACAAATACGTCTTTAAGACATTTGGAATAGACGTCCTCAAGCCTTTCATTTGAGACCAACTAAGAATGTCTTACGGACGAGACTTAAGACGTCTTACGGACGTCCTTAGGACGTCAAAATGCCCGCTGGGTAGTTACTTGTTGTTACCATTATATAACAGTTATTTCATTAAATTAAACAATATTATGTAATCTGATTGATTGTTTTACTGTAGTATAATGATGGTTATCTCATCAATACAGTATGTAATCAAATGACAAATGACCATAATCATATCCAATAAATATTACCTTATTAAGTTATGTAACTAAATTTAAATAATTTCGTTGTAATCTACTTTCATCCTAATTTTTGCTAGTTATTTAGTTGAAAATTGAAAAAAAATTAGTAGATAGCATTTAAAATATGTTAATTAAAGTATATACCTATTTCAATATGTTCTTTGTAAATATAACTTTATTTTGTTTTTAGACATACTGTTTGTGTTCAAGTGTACTTCGCTCATTAGTAATATTGTAATTAAAATTGCTTGTATTTAAGTATTTAGATTACAATTCCTAATTATTATTGCATATAGATAACAAATTGTTTGTTATAAACTATTATATACCCCAAAACTAAATCTGCTCGAAGATATTGACAGGAATGATCACAAATTGCTTGTAAAACGAATAAACTTGAAAGAAGAACAAATTACCAGAATATGAACACACCATCTTGATATGTTAGTTTTGAGCAGAGGAAAAGCGACATTACTGGCATACTTAACCCAGCGGGCATTTTGACATCCTAAGGACGTCCGTAAGACGTCTTAAGTCTCGTCCGTAAGACATCCTTAGTTAGTCTCAAATGAAAGGCTTGAAAACGTCTATTCCAGACGTCCTTAAAACGTCTTTTTAGGACGTCCTAGAGACGTTTTTTGCAGACGTTCTAGAGACATCTCTGGCTGGTCTACTATGAAAGACTCAAGGACGTCTTTTTTAGACGTCCTAGAGACGTTATTTTACCAAGACAATCTTTTAAAAGTTATATAAAAATGCAATGATTTACAACACACACCTTAGATTTGCCATAATCTAGGCAAAAGAAGTTATAAAAAGAAATCAATGCAAAGAAAGTCTAATTTGATATATTTAAAAAAAATTAATAACTTTACAAAAAATAAGAATAATTTTACAAACAAAGTTACCTTTTCCAAATTAAAAACTAATAGGTACTGTAGAATATAATCGATAGTGCATTATAAATAGAAGAAAATTTCTTATAAAAACGGAAAAAAAAAAATAAATACAACAGTTAATTAAGCCATTATTAACTGAAATGGAACATCTCATGTATTCATACACTTAAATACATGTCATGTTCCATAGCCAAAGAAATTATTTTTTTTTTTTTAATTAAAACATCATTTTTAGTTTTTAATTAATAAAACATATTAATAAGCTAATAAGAATACCATTGACAGGGTTACATAAAATTGTCAACTCTTTAAAATTTTTTTTCTTATTTAGATAATTCATGCTGTATTCTGACAAAATAGTGTCTGTTGGCAGTGTACAAATATAAAAAAGAAGATAAATGCTGTGCTGTCAATCGTAAATGTAAAAATTCAAACTTTTGCTAATTACTTACAAGAGCAAAATATTTTTAATTGTATCAGCTAGATTTTTACCGCCAATTAATGATAACAGTTTCACCTAAAAAAAACAATGTATAAGAAACATTGAAAATGTTAATGACAATTTAAAATAAATATTGCAATAATATATAACATATAAACTATAAGGATGAAACTCATGTATACAAAAGCATACATGAGTTTCATCTTATATAAACAATATATATATATATATATATATATATATATATATATATATATATATATATATATATATATATATATTTATATATGTGTGTATATATATATATATATATATATATATATATATATATATATATATATATATATATATATATATATATATATACATATATATTCATATATATATATATATATACATATATATTACAGAGAACGACTCTGACTCCAATTCCAACTCCAAAGCAAAATTTTTAAATATTTCTTTGAATTCTTTGAGACAATGTTATGCAATGATTAAAAAAATCTTATTTGCCAAATATATATGAAAAATTCTTTAAAGGTTAAATAATTTTTACATGCACATGCAATGCAGAGAAGTTTTACTATTAAAGTCAAAGTCGCGATTCTGTTTAGCAACTTTGACTCACTTTCAATGTCGCAACTCGAACTCTATGACTAGGCAACCTCAATTGGTCTGTTTTTTAAGAGCATTGCAATTGCAAACATCACTCTGTTTGCAGAATACACTAACATAATTTTTACATATATATATATATATATATATATATATATATATATATATATATATATATATATATATATATATATATATATATATATATACATATATATATATATATATATATATATATATATATATATATATATATATATATATATATACATATATATATATATATATATATATATATATATATATATATATATATATATATATATATATATATATATATATATTTATACATATATATATATATATATATATATATATATATATATATATATATATATATATATATATATATATATATATATATATATATATATATATTTATATTTGATTTAAATGAATAAATTATCGACTGCAAGCAAAGCTAATTGCATGTTGGGCATAATAAAAAAATCTTTTGTTAGATTTGATGCTGAACTGCTTAAATCCCTATATCTTATATTTGTTCGACCACTACTTGAGTTTGCTTTACCAGTATGGGCTCCTTATTAAAAACAAGATATAATCATTTTAGAAAAAGTACAGCATCGTGCCACTAAACTAATACCTCAAATCAGTAAATTTTGCTATAAAGATCGACTTGCTTATCTTAAAATACCCTCACTTATTAAAAGAAGACAATGAGTAGACATTATAGAACTATATAGAATTTTCAAAGGTTATGATAAAGTTGAATTTAAAGAAATTTATTCATTTAAATCAAATTTATACTCGTGGCCATAGCCTGAACCATTCTAAGGACTTTTCAGTACATAAGTATAGAGAAAACACTTTACTTAATCGAGCTGTAAATTATTGGAATGCACTGCCGGAAAATATTGTCAGGACTACTTCAACAAATTCATTCAAAGCAAAACTTGATCGATGGGAGTCAAACCATCACGGGATTCAGCTGTCTTAATGTGCTTAAAACCACACTCACTGGTATCAATACTAGTCACAGCATAAACTAATACTAATACTAACTAAAACTAATACTAATACTATATATATATATATATATATATATATATATATATATATATATATATATATATATATATATATATATATATATATATATATATATATATATATATATATATATATATATATATATATATATATATATATATATATATATATATATATATATATATATATATATATATATATATATATATATATATATATATATATATATATTGTATATAACACAGACACACAAAATATCACTACTATTCTATAAAACACAAAGTGAAAAGTCATGGTGCAATTTTGATGTCTTTTGTTAAAACTTCCTCATTATACTTGTAACTTCATTATACTAGTAACTAAACTAAATTTTCTTTTATTTAAATATTGTATCGATTATAGTTTATAGATCATATAATATAATATATAGAAAATTAAAAAGTTTTTTCAAACGATAAATAACTAAACAAAATTAATAATCTCAAAATAATCAACCAAAACAAGTAGACATATTTAGTTAACCGAAATAGCGCATAATATTGTATGCGCCAAGTTGATAATATTAATTTTTCTACTTATTTCTAAGGTAATTAGGACGTTTAATGTAGGTCTTAGCGACGTCAATAGGACGTCTAAATATGGAAGTCCTAAAATCGTCTTTATATTAACGTCACAAGGACGTCCAAACAAAGACGTCTTTACCGGACGTCTTTAGAACGTCCTAATTTGGTCTGAGACGTCGCAACCTAGTTAAAACGTCCGTAAGACGTTTGATTGACGTCTGTGCCCGCTGGGAACTTTGAAGCTTCATTATTTATATCCTGAAAACCAAAAACAAATGTTTTGATATGAATACATTTTTTCAAGGTTAGAGTTAGGGTTAGGGTTAAAGGGTTAATTTTTACTTGTAGAATATCAATAAATCAATGAATTTTCATCAGTTTTGATTTTTGACTAAAAATTTTTATTTTATAAAAAAAGCACAAGTATGCCATCATAGGCAACTACTGCTCCTATGATGGCATACGGAAAGATGGGGCTTGAAGATGGGTACTTAGCATCATGGGTAACTTGAAAATTTCTTTATACCTTAGATTTTGCCCTCAAAAATGCCAGAAATTATGCGTAATTATCCTAGTTTAATTTTCGTACACAATAGCAGTATAGATATTCGCGCCTACGCATAAGAGATAATGCGTTTTTTGAACCAAAAAACTTTTAGTAATGTAAAAATTCCTTTTTACTTTGCTAACAAATATGT